TGTGTGTCAGCTCACTTGATTCATTAGCTTGCTGTGACTGATAGAGAGGTCCACAGCAGAGAAACAAGGGTATTTAAAAATGAGGAAGGAGTGGGGCACAAGCAAGTATATGTTGCTTTAGGCCACCAATGCTCTATTTTTCCATGGCAATGAATGAAAGCGGGGGGGGGGGGGGGGGGAGAAGAGAAGAATGAATATGAGAGTAAAGCAAAAACAGTTTGTGTTACCATAAAAGTGGTGCATTTATGTCTCAAGTATTGTGGCTCTTGGAAGATGGCTAGTCAACACAGCATTGCACAGCCATGACTACACTTGTTTCCATAACAATATTTTCTCCCATTTCTTTTCTCTGTAATTGAGAAATGTATGAGTTCATCTCATTGGAGAGTGAGTAAAAGGGACACATTTTGGGATACATTTGAATACCTCAGCTATCTACATAGTTCAAAAATGGCCAGAAATGCCTATGGGAGCAGGTTGGTGAATCACATTCCAAGAAGCAGTGGGTGTTTCATAGAGGGCTGCTGTTTAACATCCCATTCCTTCTTCAAACATCCCACACATCCCACCCACCTGATCAATGCTCTATAAAGTAGTCATACTTTTTTTTTACAAAAAAACCCTCGATCTTCCCAGCTGAGTTATTTCTTCGCTGTGCCTTTAGTCATTAAAGGGTTGCTTCAGACCTGACTTCCCTGTTGACTAATTTTAAATGTTTAAATAATGCTATGACTGGCTCCTATGTCTTGATTGGCCAAGATGACCAAAGAAATATTTGCTTTGAAAATTCCTATTTTTTGATTGGCTAAGATGACCAAAGAAATATTTGCTTTGAAAATTCCTATTTTTTAGTCCAGTAGAATGTGTTAGAAATCACCCGCACAGGAAAAACTATCCATCCTGGGTTCTATGCAAGCTGTGCACATAAGAATGGTGATTTCCCCCCACCCTTAACTCAGTAACTTTCTGAAGTCTATGGCCAACTGACAGTACATCTACACTGTAGAATTAATGCTACTTGACACCACTTTAACTGCCATTGTTTAATGTCATGAAATCCTGGGATTTATAGTTTGGCAAGGCACCAGCGCTCTTCGGCAGAGAAGGCTAAAGACGTAAGTATACTTACACATTTATTTATTTATTATTTAAACTTATATGCCGCCACTCCCCTGGGGCTCGGAGCGGCTTACAAGAATAGCTAAAATCTAACAAAGTTTAAAAGCAATTTAAAACAATTTAAAAACAACAGTATCAAACATTAAAAGCCTGTCGAAACAGGTATGTCTTGCATGCCCTGCGGAAAGCTGGTAAGTCCCGCAGGGCACGAACTTCAGGTGGCAGAGCATTCCAGACTGATGGCGCCACTGCTGTGAAGGCTCTGCGTCTGGTTGCCATTAGATACAAGGTCTTGACACTGGGGACTTCCAATAGATCTTGGTCCTCAGAACGGAGGGATCTCTGGGGTTGGTAGGGGGTGAGGGTCCCTCAGATACATCGGCCCCAGACCATGCAAGGCCTTAAAGGTGAGTACCATCACTTTGAAAGTGATCCGGTGCTCAATTGGTAACCAATGCAGCTGTAGTAAGATTGGTGTTATGTGGCATCTCATCGGAATTCCCGCAAGAAGCCGAGCAGCTGCATTTTGTACCAACTTGAGCTTCCGAATCACCGACAGAGGAAGGCCAATGTAGAGGGCGTTACAGTAGTCCAGTCTTGAGATGACCGTGGCCTGGATCACCGTAGCTAGGTCGTCCCTGGACAGGGAGGGGGCCAGCCGTCTAGCCTGCCGCAGGTGAAAGAAGGCGGTTCTGCTCACAGCGGAGACCTGGGCCTCCATTGTCAGCAGAGGGTCCAAAAGGACTCCCAGACTCTTTACCAATGATGATGGGCATAACACCTCGCCATCCAGATGGATGTCCCCACTGCCCGGTCCACCCAGCCATAGGATCTCCGTCTTTGCTGGATTCACCCTCAACCTGCTGGCACGCAGCCATCCAGTCATGGCCTCAATGAGGCACTGATGGAAACAACCGGGTACAGAGTCCGGTCGGCCTTCCATCTTCAGCACCAGCTGAGTGTCATCGGCGTACTGGTCACACTCCAGCCCAAAACCTCGGACCAGATGAGCAACAGAGGGGAGAGAATGGCCCCCTGAGGAACCCCACAAGATAGAGGGGACCTCTCGGAGACCAGGCCTCCCCTCTCCACTCGCTGTCCACGGTTGTGAAGAAAGGAGGACAGCCAGTTTAAAGCTGTCCCCTGATTCCAGCAACAGCAAGGCGGTGGGTCAAGAGATTGTGGTCGACTGTGTCAAATGCTGCTGTGAGATCCAATAGCACAAGCAGCGCTGACCCGCCCTGGTCAAGCTGGCATCGAAGGTGATCCGTGATGGAGACCAGCACAGTCTCTGTCCCGTGCCCCGCACGGAAGCCGGACTGGAAGGGATCTAGTCCGGCTGTGTCGTCTAGGAATTGCTGCAACTGCTCTGCTGCTGCCCTCTCAATCACCTTGCCCAGGAACGAGAGATTTGAAACTGGGCGGTAACTGGAGGGAACCGAGGGATCTAAATCTGGTTTCTTCAGCAAAGGAGAGACCACCGCCTCTTTTAAACATGTCAAGTAACACATATCAATTGGAAAAAATGAAGGTGAATGGTCTATTCCATATGCCACATTTAAGTCAAAATAGTCAATATTTGAATTTTTCTTCCTCTGGATTTAATTGGCTTTACATTTTACATTCTGCATTTTTTGTATTTGGTAGGTTATTGTTATTGCTGATGTTTATTTTAATTTCTAATGTTTGCATTAAGTATTTGATGAGAAACTATTTCTGAATTCTTCTGGTACTTGTACTTTGAATTGATGGCAGAATTGTTGAAAATGTTTTGCATTTGTTGGATACATTTACTATAATTTTGATGTCAGATTGATATAGATTAAAATGTTTTCATTTTTTGAAGCATTTATTGGTATCAATTGTTCTGGGCTCAAACTTGTTCTTGAAATTGAATACAAATACATCTGAAATAGTGTAACACTAGGGAAGGAGATGGGTGACTTGTTATGAATTTTGCTGTGGACATTATCTAATATCTGTATTTATGTGCCAAAGCATTTTCCCAACTCTGACTGCATGCATGTGGAAAAGTGACTTGGTGGCTATTTGAAGCAATACCTCTGATTATTCTTTCAAAATCTCCCTTAGTTTGTGGTAATACTGTTCGCAAAGTTTTGCAAATGATACAGATTGTCTTCTCTTCTAAATCCTATCATTGAACTAGGATAGGCAGCAAACAAATAACAAAAAATCATCATCATCATCATCATCACATCCATGCCATTTTAACCTGCTCAGTTATAACACTTTGATTTCACTTTAACTGTCATTGTGATGTCCATGCAATATTGGGATGTGTAGATAGGGGAAGAGTATCTAGAATTATCAGTCACAGATCTCTAGTATCTTGCCAAATTATAAATTCAAAGATTCCATAGGGAAAAGCCTTGGCAGTTATACTGTGAGATTTAGGAAGTTGCAACTGTAATATGACACTGAAGAACTGCATTTTCTTGGTTCTAAGACAGCTCCCTAAAACATCTCTAAAATGGGGGTACATCTTAAAATTGGGTGCATAGAAAGATTTTTTTTCTGTTGACGTTACTGATATTAGTGTGATTTACAACTGATGGAGTCTTAGAATTGATGAAATACATTACATAGAGATTAGAATAATTATTGAAATTGTGTACAGATTTTAACAATTTTGTGTTGCTTGCAAAGTTCTGCAGAGTAATGTCTGCTTTCATTCTCAAACCGAGATGTTCATTGGTACAGTTCACTGTGTTGTTTTATTGCATTTTTAATTTCACCAAAGTTAGACTCCATTCATTGTGTATCAGAGAAGGTATTTCATCTAATTGTGTTTGTATTAGTGACATGTACCTCTCAAATCACAATTTCCATCCATATTTTACAAAACCACTTTGAGCTGATTAATCTCTCCACCCTATCCATCACTTGCACACCTCCATGGCAATATTAGCATTATATGTTCTTGGAATTTCAAACCACATTCCCTTGACATATGACTTCACTCCTCTCTCAAGGGGTCCTTCAGTTAAAATAGTGTTCTCTAACTAAGAGAAAGCTTTGAATCAGACCTAGTTAAAAAAAAAACTCTTCTCCTGCACAACTGTGTGTGGGTTCCATATTCACTCTATACAATATTTATTTTTCCTTTGGATATTTTTCTATGCTCTTTTCTCTCTCCCCCCCCTCCCCAATATATTTTCCTTTTCAATGAAACAGTAACCCTGTAATACTTAAGCCCACAATGTTTGGGCAGCTCCTAAATTAGGCAAAATAAGTTTGCCCTTCCCTAGAACAAATTGAACTCATTTTCTGACTCACACAGCCTTATACTCGGGTCACTGCCATGTCTGTTTGCTTGGCCTAATTAAATATCATTCTGTCCTACACTTGCCATGTTACTTAATAGTAATATGTTGGTTATAGAGAAACAGAGATAAACTAACTTTTAGGAGAATGAGACAATACAATACAGATTACCTTAGGATTCAGACCTATGACCTCATCACAATCACAGGCTTTCACCCCGTCTTCTGGACAGAGCCCATGCTGGCCATCACACAACATCATGTGACTTCTAGCGGAGGCCCTACGTCCAACTGGGGTGAAACCATCACCAGAAGTTTCCTCCCCAACATGGGAGCCAGTATGGGTCCTCTGTGGAAGGGCGATGCTTCCCCGTGTGATGGGGAAAAAGCTTCGCTGAGAGGGAGATGACAGATTCACCTAATTGCTCCTCTCTTTCCTTGTGATGAGGCCCCTAAATATCAGGTTCTGGTAGTTTTATTTTCATTGTTGCCCATTGTAAACAAAAGTGTCAGATAGGTATTAGAGCAAGGAAAGGTCAATTGTCTCCCAACCCTCGAAGAAAAAGACTCACAAATAAAAACACAACAACCAAAGCATTGGGTTCAAATTGGGCAACTTTTATTTATCGTTACCTATTTAAATATCTAAACTAACTTAAAGGGGGTGCCTGGAACTGGTATAACAAAAACCCAGGTAGACTCTCTACCGATCTTAACAGCAATTTACGGGCGAAGCACCTGGGTTTCCTGGTAACAACCTCGGACCACCACGTAAGGGAAATGAGTGAGGAGTCTCTCTTTTAAAGATCTTGGATCCTAACTCCTCCCATTTCAGGCCATTTAATTTCACTTCACCTTTTAACAACAACAGTAGGTGAGTGTTTAACTTCATGGCCTATCACCCCTTAAGGGGGTGCCTTAGGTGCACACCGACTAACAGGATTTCCCTAACTATTTAACGCTGACCTATTTATAGTTCGTCCACCATCCATCTAGCCCCTAAACAGTATAGGGTAGGCAAAAAACCCTCCCCGTGAAAAAGAAGGGGAAAAATTCCTACCCGGTCCTCTAGGCAACCGTAATTATACTGTTAATGGGCGGGAGTGGTGGGCAGCTTCCAGACTCGGAATGAGTCTGGATGGGGGCTGGCTTGCTCGTTATGCCACGCCCCCAGTCCTCTGGAAGGTTCCATTGGAACCTCCCCTTGCCACGAGGGAGGCAGACAAATCATTTTCTCCCTCCCCATTTCACGGGGAGGGGAAATTTAATTGTCTCCCAACCCTCGAAGAAAAAGACTCACAAATAAAAACACAACAACCAAAGCATTGGGTTCAAATTGGGCAACTTTTATTTATCGTTACCTATTTAAATATCTAAACTAACTTAAAGGGGGTGCCTGGAACTGGTATAACAAAAACCCAGGTAGACTCTCTACCGATCTTAACAGCAATTTACGGGCGAAGCACCTGGGTTTCCTGGTAACAACCTCGGACCACCACGTAAGGGAAATGAGTGAGGAGTCTCTCTTTTAAAGATCTTGGATCCTAACTCCTCCCATTTCAGGCCATTTAATTTCACTTCACCTTTTAACAACAACAGTAGGTGAGTGTTTAACTTCATGGCCTATCACCCCTTAAGGGGGTGCCTTAGGTGCACACCGACTAACAGGATTTCCCTAACTATTTAACGCCACGGATTGGGGGCAAATGTCTATTTCGCCCCCATCCCCCACCAATTCTCCCAACACCCCCTGTATACCCTGACATAAATCTGCCAGAAACTGCTGGTTGCCCGTTTCGGAGAGGTGCACTCCATCTACTCGATATAAACCTTGTTGTTCACGAGTGATGTCTGTGTGCTCGATGTAATAGCCTCTCTGACGAATCATGAACATTCGCATGGCCCTATTGACCCTTTTCCTAGCTTTTTCAAGCTTACGCACGTCACCTCCTCCCAACCARRTACGACGTGGTATGATGGCCGACCATGCAATGRGTACTTCGGGCCACGCTCGCCAAATTTTTTTMAATATRGGCTCGCGCTTGRAGGAATAGTGCCTTTCCCGTCAACAAGCCCAGATCGTTACCACCGAGGTGGATAACGAGAACATCCGGAGGTGGCCCGCTCCTGGCCCTGAATAACAGCGGGCACAATCCATACCATCGCAGGCCTCTCACYCCTCTCCATTCGATCGTTGCAATGGAGGACAGGCCCAAATGCTGGCCATAGGCAGTCTTAAGGGCCTCTCTTTCCGCCCAGAAGACGAAGCTGTGTCCACAAATCAGGACTCTTCTCCTATGTGCCAGCCCAACGTTACCTGCAACGATAACGATAACTATATTGAGCATGGACGAATGTAACCTTTGAAGGCATTGGATCGCCATCTCCCCACAGCTTTAACTGCTTCCTTGTCATATCCCATTGCTGCTGCCGCTGATGCCGCGCCAATCCTGAAGGAGTGCGTGCCAAATTTRAGGTGTCCCATCCCCAATGTGTCTAATGCCCTAGATGTTACTGACCAAAACTGGTATTTGGTCAGAGGTGTTCCGTCTTGGTGACAAAACAAATAGGTTCCCTCAGAGCCCCTTAACATTGCGAATTGCCGCATGGCTTGTACAGGGCATAAATCGTCATCTCCACACCTTTTTAAGCTAACTATTTGACCCTTCGACCCCTGGTCCGTCTTTGACATTCTGATTCTGATGTCAATCTTTTCCTGGAAAAACGTGACATCTGAAACCAGCAATGCACGGTGTGAGGTATCAGTCTTGGCCATCGACACCAATTCACTCACACGAAGGGCTGCAAAAAAGGCCGTCAATGCGGCCGCGTGAAAAAGCGCCTGCTCGTAGGGGGAAGTACATATGCGTGGCCAAATTTGTTTAAGTCCTTTTAAAATTGCGGGTGTCAGGGGCTGCCGATCGTCCTTTGGATGACCGCTGTGTCTAGCCCACCCTGTTAGAATTTTATGGATCCGGAAGTCATCAGTGGGGTCATTGAGTCCCTGAGACTTAAACCAGTATGCCAGCGCTGCCAACTTTGTTCTAATGGTCCGTGGAGCCAAGCCCCTTCTTTTGTGGTACACACAGAACTGGGCAATGTGCTCGTGTGGCACTGGCATGATTTCTGGTAACTTGTAATACTGTCTAAAATCTCGAAATTCTTGTATAGCCCTAGTATACGACCTCCTAGAACTGGGTGCTAATGCCATCGTAATACCTAATGCCATCTCGTTGTTCCAGCCTTCCAGAGATGGTCTGGCATCCGCTCCGGCTGAACGTCCGCGGCGGGTGCCAACTGCCTGAACCGCTCCATCTGTAAGCGAGACAAAGCGTCAGCCAGGGTATTGTCTAAGCCCGCAATGTGGAATGCACGAAACAATATATTGAGATTTAAACATTGTAAAACAAATTGACGAATGGCATTCATAACCCTAGGTGATTTAGATGTAAGGGTATTAATGACCTGAACTGTGGCCATATTGTCGCACCAAAAGTGCACTGTGGAGTTTGCAAAGCTTTCGCCCCAAAGGGAAACTGCCACTAAGATAGGAAAAAATTCCAAAAAGGTTAAATCTGATGTAATTTTTTGACCTATGCCAGTCATCGGGCCACCTCTCGGCGCACCAGTGACCATTGAAATATACACCGAAACCTATAGCTCCTGATGCGTCCGATGRGACTTTTAAGGCGTCTTTGATCATCAACTCCTGCCGCCAAAACGAAATTCCYTTAAAATGGCGCAGGAATTGCAACCAAATGCYCAAATCGGCTTTTATAGCTAGGGTAACTCTAATGTGATGATGTGGAGCCGATGCGCCCGAAATGGCATCGCAAAGCCTGCGAAGAAATGCTCGACCAGGAGCTATTACTTTGCATGCGAAATTTAAATGTCCTATTATTTGTTGGAATTCCCTTAGCGTTGACTTATGTTTTGACAGAAATTGTTGTATCCTGACAATCAYTCCTTCGACCTTCTCACATGGCAACCTGGAGAARTGATTCACTGTGTCTAATTCAATCCCCAAAAAGGTCAATACCGTCTGAGGGCCTTCAGTTTTTTCTTCAGCCAAGGGCACTCCCAAGGAGTAGGCCAGCTGCTGAAAAGCGTGCAACAGGGCGCCGCAATCTCCTGATCCTCCGTTTCCTACGAAAAGAAAGTCGTCCAAATAGTGTACGACTCCTTTAAGACCTGCCTTTGTCTTAACTGCCCATTCAAGGAATGTACTAAACGTCTCAAACGCAGCGCATGAGACCGCGCACCCCATGGGCAGAGCTCGATCCATGTAGAACAGCCCTTGAAACTGAAATCCCAGCAACTCAAAGTCCGCTGGATGCACCGGGAGCAGCCTAAATGCCGATTTAATGTCGCACTTGGCCAACTCTGCTCCCGTCCCATATTGCCGCAACAATCGCACCGCCGCGTCAAAAGACGTATAACTCACGGAGCATTGTTCGTCAGGAATAGCGTCGTTCACCGAGTCACCCTTGGGGTAAGACAAATGGTGAATGAGGCGGTATTCCCCGGCAGCCTTTTTGGGCACTATTCCCAATGGGGAAACTCTAAAGTGAGGCGTGGGCGGTTCCGGGKAAGGTCCGAGGACCCTCCCCTCTCTCACTTCTCTGTCAATCTTCTGTTTCACTATTGCCTCTAAACCTATGACTGATTTCAAGTTGGGGGACAAACATGCGAAACGRGGCCCAAGCGCCGGGATACGAAAACCGTGGGAAAAACCTTGAAGCAAATAAGCGGCAGCAGTTCTATTGGGATATGTTTTTAACCATTCTCTCAAAGGGGCCAGCTTAATTGGGCTGGGGCCCTTTTGGAATATTGGTCTGAGCCGGATTCTTTCTTGTGAACTGTGAATCACCTGAATTAAGTCTGGCCGGATTTCTTTTGAAACAGGTTGTGGCTGAGTGTTTCCCCTGGCATATAGTGCAGGCATGTTGAAACTTGCAGTTTTTTCTTGTGCAAGATCCCCGAGCCGCATAGTCCCAGCACATAAGTTTTCTTCCCTGCGGCTGTTGTGCTGGGCCGCCTTGCCYAAAGGGCTGAATTGCCTTAGCGTTTTGGATCGTATGGCCACTGTCAGCCTTCTCACCAGACACCGATCTGGTTGTATTCATCACCTCCATCCAGAGTTGACTATCAATAAGATCCCAACGCTTGTCAGGCTTTGTGGCGGCCTCAGTACGAAAACYGCTGTCATAAATGAGCCAGGCTTGYCCTGTATAATTGACYTAWGCCCCATAWATTATATTCTGGTACTTAAACAGGGACTTAGCCCTGTATGGATGAGCCTCAACTATTAACGATGCATAAATCGTGTAGCAGGCTATCCAGTTTTTCCAGTTATGTTCTACTCTTCTCTTTTTTATTTTTTCCTTGCGGTCATCATCTAAATCCTCTTTTTCTTTTTTATCCAATTCCCTAAAGTATAAAGAGAAAATGTCTATATACTCATTCCTTAAAATTTTGTCAATGGTCTTCTGTGACAAATGGGCTCCCAAAGAAGCCGACGCTGCTGTGGCAGTTACTGGTAGTACCCATTTGTCAGTTCCCCAGTATTGATTGTCTTCACCTGTTCTAGCCATCTCTAATGTTATTGGAGTCACCGTGGCCTGTTGAGATCCGGCCTTAACACTCAAAACTCCTATTTTGGCTGAAGCCGCCTCGGCGGAGCTCAATGATGTGTTTTGTGTCTGGTTTGGTCCCCATGGCCAAACCAGTGTGGTGCTATTACCTGATGATGTAGACGGTCCATCCAAGGCGCCGCGTTGAATGGATGTCTGGCTTGACCCCGGTGTTCCAGGTATGACCGTTGTTGTCCCACGGGCTGGGACCCCCGCCTCGGTTGGCCTGCGGATAGCCGTTGATGCTTCATTCTCCGGCTGCAGTTCCGCCATGGATATTTGAGCCCGCGTTGGGACCAGTGCCGGCCCGGGCGCCGTTGTCACTGCTGAGTCAGCCCCTGTTCCGTGCTCGTCTCCCTCTGGAGGCTGAATAACGATCGGGGCCGGTGAACCATCTCTCCTCTGTCCGGATTCAGCTTGTTCGGCTTGTTCTCCTTCGGGTCTCGCAACTCCTCGACCTGACTCTAGGGAAGACATACGAGATAGCAGGTTTTTGAAAATAAGCTTTCTGCTGGCCCGGCGTGCCGGGCGAGGCCCCGCATCCCGTGTTTGGAGCCCCCTTTCCCTCTCGAACTTGTCCATTCTAGCTATCAGCGCGTCCAGGTCCTCGGCCGAAACGCCCTCCTCCTCCGATGATGTATCTACTGGAGGAGGGGGGCGTTTTGCCGAAGTCTTCTTGGCGGGCCCCTTTCCTTTGGGACCGCCCACGTTCTTCTTCGGCGGCATCCTGTAAGAGAATTAATGACAGATTTGTCACTATAGAAGGTTTTATGCTGCAATGCTTATTGATCTACTCACATTTGTATAATCTTCTTTTTTTTTTATTTTTTTATATATTATTATTATTCGGAAAGCTGGAGCTAAAACTGGGAGCTCACCCACGTGTTCAATTATGAAGCATGCCGCCTGAACGTCCATTTTTTCTGTCATCTCAACCTAAAGCCTGCTTTTGTAAGCGTGTTCCTAGTAACTTGTGATATTTTTATTCACAACCTTTTTTTTTTTTTTTTAAACAGTTGAAGCTTACGCGGGGAGCTCGCTCGGCAGCTAGAATGTGAAATCTATTTTTTTTATATATATATATATATATATTTTATTAACAGTTGAAGCTTACACGGGGAGCTCGCTCGGAATCTAGCATGTGAAATTTTTTTTTTTATTATAAAAAACAGCTGAAGCTTACGCGGGGAGCTCGCTCGGCAGCTAGAATGTGAAATCTATATATATATATATACATATTTTCTAATTTAATTTTTTTTTTTTAAAACAGTTGAAGCTTACGCGGGGAGCTCGCTCGGAAGCTAGAGTGTGAAATCTTTTTTTTTTTTTTTTTTTATAAAAAACAGTTGAAGCTTAAGCAGAGAGCTCACCCGGAAGCTAGATTGTGCAATCCGTGGCTTGAATGGCCGATATTTATTATTTCCATTATTATTAGCAATCCTAAAAGCGCACTCGCATTAGCCTCATGCTGAGCATATACATAAAATACCTTGAATAAATTGAATTCACAAGGAGGGGGGGTTTCCGACGTGTGGCTTCGTAGCCACCCTCACCCACCATTTGGCGATTCCCCCTAGGTTGTCCAGTTCGACCGACCTTTAAAATGGCCAGCCCTGTGCCTCACAAAATGGCGCCTGTTCCTAAATGAGGCTTCTACCAGGCGCCACGTGACCCAAATGCCACGTGCGGCCCGGGAAAAAGCCGCGCTGCAATTGTTATGCAGCAGCTCTCTTGCAAGCCCGCGCACGAGCTGTCACGTGGCCACTCCGAAGCTGCTACACGCGGCCTCCCAAAGGCCCCCGACGCATCTCTCCGGGGGCCGGATGTCGCCAGCATGGGGCATAATAGCGGAGAGGCTGCTCCTCGCCATTAGGCAATCAAGCCGAAGGCCGGGGCGGCAGCAACAAAGCGGCGCGTGGGAAGACTTTTTCAGTAAGAGGGGGGGGGGAGGAAAGGGTTACACCCTGGCGCCCACTACCCCCAGCCGTGGGCCCACCTGTAACTCCCCATCCCACCGGAGGGAAGAGAGGGGCAGCGAGAAACCCCTCTGTTCCCCCAGGGCCCCTCTACCGACCTGCCTTCTGAAAATGGATTCTTCTTTTAATACTTTCCTTCTTCTTTTCTTCTTGGCAGCAACGTCTAGTTGGCTGCCTCTTCTGGCTTCTCTCTTCACTCTCCGAACTTGGGTCTTCTGTCTTCTCTCTTCGCTTTTTCCTCTTCTCTGGGCCCGTCTTCTCAGCCCAGCTTCCAGGCACGTCTTCTTCGTTCAGCTTCCAGACTCGGAATGAGTCTGGATGGGGGCTGGCTTGCTCGTTATGCCACGCCCCCAGTCCTCTGGAAGGTTCCATTGGAACCTCCCCTTGCCACGAGGGAGGCAGACAAATCATTTTCTCCCTCCCCATTTCACGGGGAGGGGAAATTTAATTCTGTCAAATTTGAATTAACTTTTATCTTTTGTTTGTCTGACTCATTTCCATACTATTTTTTTGAGTTTAGAGCCTAAGCAAAAATGCATATGCTTTTTTGAGATGAAAGTTTTGGATGAACTTTTCCTCTCATACACAATGTTTACACACAACATCATATACACATTTTCCCCAAGTCATTTTTCTCTGAATTTAATTTTGTATTTGAGACTTTTCTCACAGATACATATATTTTTGTATTCTCTTTCCTTTAAAACACAGATGATTGTATTCTGTATTGCTCATAGCACTGCAGAAAAAGAGGAAGGAAGAAAAGAAAATAATAGTGGAATTAATGAAGAAGTGAAAACAGGTTCACACACTGATTCAGAAAGTGTTAATTTGTTAAGTTTTTATAAAAAAAATATGAACAATAATCATCCTCATTTCTTTCCCAGGCCCTGTTCACACTAAAATACAGCCAAAATTATAAATATGTTCTTTGTTGAGATCATGATAGCTGGTAAAGATTGGATGACTGTCTACCTCAATAGACATCTACCTCAATTGATAAAACTCTCTGCATTCAAAAAAGTAGATGTCACAGAAATGACATGTTAATAGCATGGATCCAAACTGGTGAAGTATTGAAATTCTGCCACCTCACATGTTAGATGCATGAAATACCAGAGTGGTGTTCTTACACTTGAAAATACCGTAGCATTGTCATTTCTTAAGGATGAAGATGATGATTTATACCCCACCTTTCAGCCCATGGGAACTCAAGGTAGCTAACAATCCACATTAGACAAGTTTGAAAAGTGCAATACAAAATTTAAAATACAATTAAATAGTAACAGTGTGGTAAAACAGAATTAAAATTCAGTAAATACACTAAAATGGCCTTTAAAACCCATATCACCACTGAGAAAGGTATAGTGAAATCAGACACTGGAATCTATAAATCTTATGGTGTGGTATTTATAGGGAAAGGCAATACACATCACTTACTGCTGAAATGGAGCCCCACAGAGTTCCACCGGAAGTGCCCTTATGACATGTGATGGCCTCCATGGGACTACCAAGGGACTCCTGTTCCGAAGCTCTTGGAAACAGAGAAAGAAGTCCATCTGATGAAGTCCGAGATCACAAGGAAAAATTCTACATTTAGGTCATAAAAACCAAATACACATTTATAGGAAGCGAAATTTTGGTGCAAAAAGACTTGGGATTATTGTTCATCATCAATTGAACATGACTCACCAACATGATGCTTTGGAAAATAAGGAAAATGTTTTTTTTAGCCTGTATTATAGCCTCCAAGAAAAGAAAAGTAATATTGTGAGGGGTTAAACTTCATAGTCTATGGTGCTCATACCAACTGTATGATTGTATGATTCAGTTCATATTAGGGCTACTGCTAATTGGTTTGAACAAACTTCCTTTGGCTATTTAGCTAACCCTTCCTCCCCCGCCCCCAAAATAGTTTTGTTACTGCTTTAAAAATAATTGTTTTGATATAAGGAAACAACACAACAATTGCTGTTTGTCATCATCGCCCACCCCCTTCTAACAGGAAATTCATAGGGTTGTGTTCGTGTTGGTTTAAAATGAAACCAGAGGCTAGCAGCTTGTCACATAACAGATGTTTTAATTTTGTTAATTTTGAGAAACTAAGGATGCAAATGTTTCTTTAAAATTATAGTTAAACAATAAATAACTAGTTTTGTGAAGCTGGAACTGTAACTGTAATGTGTTACATGTAAGAAGTAAATCACCACCTCTGCACATAGTTGTTAGTCTACACATGTGACCACAGTAAGAATGGACATTACTAGATGACTACAGTTATCATGAAGAAACATTCCCACATACATTTTAAATGAAGGGCCATTTTTTTCTCTTTGGAGACTACATGGCTGTCAAATGTGGATAGAAGTATTTAAGAAAGCTTGCTAACACAGCACCACAGTTCTCTGATGGATGGGCTGAAGAGGGTTGTGAGTCCACCCCTGTCTTGCAAATCTGTTTATAAACACACTGGTTCATCAGACAAACAACCTACTTGGCAAGTGTGAGCTTTCCCCCCCTTTCTTAACACACCTGCATTCATTTATTTCAGTTTTGTTTAATTGGTGGGTGGCATGCCAAGGGCTCTGCTTTTCAAGGAATAGCATTTTCAAATCTCTCTTGCACCTGCCATTTTGGCTATTGAAGTGGTCCATTTAAAAAGGGATTGATCACTCTTTAGGAACTAGACAGTATTAAAATATTCTTTTTCCCAGAACAGGAAAACGTATGTTAATTGAGCTTGAAAATAAATCATGGAAGACATTTCCAACATCTTCTTTTGCCCTGGAAAACTAAAGAGTTTGGTAATGATGCCCTTGGTGCACATGCAGTGTGTCTTTGGAGTCTTGACTCCAATTAAAACTTTAATACCACACATATACTCCTTGGTTGTTAATTCTTCTGCTGCTTTGTGCCTGTAGTTCTCTATTGTGAGAAGTGCAAAGAAACATCTTGGTAAAGAAAAATATGAAAGACAGCAGGCCTACTATTTCCAGAAAATTAATGAGCACAATGGAATCAATGGCTTATGCTCTTAAGTTCTCTTCCTGTAAAACTGACTTTCTCAGCCAGCAAATAATATTGGAAATGTGGTCACTCGTAGAATTACCAAGAATAACTGCCCTTTAGCACCTGGGGTGTTGGTATTTAGAATGCCTTTGATATTTACATGGCTTGTGTTACTTTTTCAGAGACCAAAGAGATGGTGAGGGCAACACCCCAAGACTGATCATGTACAGTGGTCTAAATGCATTTTCATATATTAAATTAATTTTGTCTCTATTAAATTTGTTTGCTTCCCCCAAAATTCTCAGGACAAGTAACAACAGATTAAAAACATGTGACCAAATCATAGTAGAAATTTGGCAAAAGTCTTACAAACATGAAAAATTGATTTATAGCTAAGATTGACCAGTCAGTTGAGAGTTGGTCAAAACTGCTAGAAGGATTAAGATTTAGGCATCCCAGCCATAAAAAGTATTAAAAATATCTGGGTAGAACTACATTCTATCCTGTCAGGGCAGAACTTCTATTCAAATCCTCTCATTTAGATGCTACATTAACCATTGTCAAAAGTCTCTCCCTCCGAAAGGACTGATTTGTGGGGACTTGTCTGGTTTCCCTGGGGAAGGCGTTCCAAAGTCGGGGGCCACAATAGGGAAGTTTCTCTCCATCGTCGCCACCCGCCATGCTTGGGTCAGCAGTAGGACTGAGAGGAGGACCTTCCTGGCAGATTTTGGAGCCCGTGCAGATTCATAGGGGGAGATGCGGTCACATTGATAGGCTGGACCCAAACCATATAGGGCTTTGTAGGTGATAACCTGCACTTTGAATTGGGACTGGAAACTTATAGGCAGTCCGTGGAGCTGCTTTAATAGGGGTCTGTTATGCTCCCTATTGGTAGCCTCAGTCAGTAGTCTGGCTGCCAATGTTTGTATTAGTTGTAATTTCTTCAAAGGCAGCCCCATATAGAGTGCATTGCAATCATTCTTTATAACACATGCTTTTCAGCTGTTAACTCAATTCTACCCACACTTTGGCTAAACATTATTTAGCCGCCACCCCCCCCCCCTCTTTCATGTTTATGGATATAATTTTTGAACAATACCCTGCATAAGGATTCTTTTCCTTTGTGTTAACTCAAGTCTCTGTGGATTGCTTTTGATGCCTTGGTTCACAAGCTGATGAACTCTTGATCTTGGTGGGAATTACTTTTTGTAATTTTGCTGCTTCTTTGCTTTTTTCCTTTTATACTTATTTACTAATAAACTTTTACTTATTGGATTATCTGAACATTGTGTGGTGTTGGGTGAAAAGATGTTTCAGGGATACAGTACAACAGCCAGCCACCTGTCTAATTCAAGGCAATCCTTTGTCTCCTGCCCCCCAAAGGCCACCAGCTCCTTTTCCCTTGTTTGGTCAGCTGCTGATGGCCAGCCAGCAACCACTCTTTCTCCGACCCCCAGCCATCCTGAGGGGTCTCCTCTTTCCCCCTCAAATTTCAAACAGTAAAATGTTTGAGATCATTGGTTTTCCTTTAAGCTTCAGCATGCCCCTGCTTTGAAGTTAAACGGAAGATTTACCTACTCCCATCTCACCTAATCCTTTTCTCCACTTTCTTTATGATTTCTCCATTACCTTTGCCATCACATGGGAGACATATGTCTCCTCCCACTGTCTCCTCCTCTGTTTTCTTTGTATAGAAGAAATCCTACATATTATGCCTTCCATTCCAACCCTCTTCTACCCAAAAAGAATGTCCCCAAAGGCCATCCATAGAATGTTGGGAGTTTAAAGGGACCCCCAAAGGCCACCCAATCCAATTCTACTTGATAGACAGGGTGACACTATCCAAGCCCTCCCAGCAGATGGCCATCCAGCATCTGCTTAAAAACCAGTCCCCAGTCACATGTGCTTAAATCGAAAAAAAATCATAAAAATGAGTAGATTAACAAATATTTCTGAAACCCTGCAGGGTTGATGTTGTGCTTATCTTATTTCATTGTACAGAAATTCCAGGGGATCCCTCTAGTAGTTATTTTAAAAAAGTATTTGTAAAACCTTTTTAAAATTCCTAAAAATCAGTGAATGACTGCAACATTCTGAAACTTGGCAGGTTCAAATTGGTAAATGCGGCCTACAACTGTGAAAACTTTCATCCTGATAGCCACAACATATTTTAATTTTTCAAGCCTCTGAGGATGAGAGAGTGTGACTCCTCCAAAATGCTTAAATTGAATTTTTTTGTCCAAAATTAAGGTTGCATAAGAGAGAAAACAATTTGAACTTCTATTTTTTTCATTTTTAATTAATTTTATTTAATTTTAAATATGTAATACACTAACCTTATTAATTGCAAACATATACCAATAAACATACACATACGTAGACAACCCACCACCCACAGTATAATTACCCCTTACCCCACCCCCAGTGTTACCCA